ATGTGGGGCCCCTGCAGGATATGCGGGGCAATCTGGTGGTTGCGTCAGAGGATAAAGCGGACCTCTTTAACCAATTCTTCACCTCCGTTTTCTTGTGCAGGGACCGGGACTTCCCTGCTGTGATAGAAGCCGGACGCGAGGGGATCGCCTTCAGACCTCAGGTTGGGGAGGACCGGGTTAGAGAGCTTCTGGAGGGGCTGGACGCGTTCAAGTCAGCGGGTCCGGATGCTCTCCACCCCAGGGTGCTGAGGGAGCTGGCTGGGGTTATTGCAGGGCCCCTGGCACGGCTCTACGAGCGATCGTGGTGCTTGGGCCAGGTGCCAGACGATTGGAAGGTAGCTAATGTGGTCCCCATCTTCAAAAAAGGGAAAAGGGAGGACCCGGGCAATTATAGGCCCGTCAGTCTTACCTCAATCCTGGGGAAGCTCTTTGAGAAGATCATCAAGGAGCACATTTGTGATGGGCCGGCATCCGAGATGATGCTCAGGGGCAATCAGCATGGATTTATTAGGGGGAGATCATGTCAGACCAACCTGATTGCCTTTTATGATCAGGTCACAAAGGCCATGGATGCAGGTGTCGCGGTGGATGTAGTCTTTCTGGACTTCAGCAAGGCCTTTGACACCGTCTCTCACCCCATCCTAATTAGTAAACTAGGCGACTGTGGCATAGATGCCTACACGGTCAGATGGATTGCAGATTGGCTGAAGGGTCGCACTCAGAGGGTGGTGGTGGATGGATCATATTCGACTTGGGGGGAGGTGGGTAGTGGAGTCCCTCAGGGCTCGGTCCTGGGCCCTGCGCTGTTCAATGTCTTCATCAGCGATCTTGATGTTGGGGTGGAGAGCAACCTGTTTAAATTCGCTGATGACACCAAAATTTGGGGGGAGGTGAGCACGCTAGCAGGGAGAGAGAGATTGCAGAAGGATCTGGATAGGTTACAGGGGTGGGCAGACAGGAACAGGATGCGTTTCAATACGGACAAGTGCAGGGTGCTGCACTTGGGTAGTAGGAACCAGCAGCACACTTATAAGATGGGGAGCTCCCTACTTGAGAGCACGGAGGCGGAAAGGGATCTTGGTGTCATTATTGACTCCAAGATGAACATGGGCCGACAATGCGAGGTCATGGTTGGCAGGGCTAACCGGACCTTGTCGTGCATCCACAGGTGCATCTCGAGTAGAGCCAGGGAGGTGATCCTCCCCCTCTATGCGACGCTGGTCAGGCCGCAGCTGGAGTATTGTGTCCAGTTCTGTGCGCCCCATTTCAGGAGGGATGTGGACAACATGGAGAGGGTCCAGAGGAGGGCCACCCGCATGATCCGGGGACAACAGGGCAGACCCTACAGTGAGAGACTGCGGGACTTGAACCTATTCAGCCTCCACAAGAGAAGGCTGAGGGGGGACCTGGTGACCGTCTATAAACTCACTAGGGGGAACCAGAAGGGTTTGGGGGAGACGCTGTTTCCCCTAGCCCCTGCTGGCATAACAAGGAATAATGGGCACAAGTTGATGGAGAGGAGGTACAGATTGGACATCCGAAAAAACTACTTCACAGTCAGGGCGGCTAGGAGCTGGAACCAACTTCCAAGGGAGGTGGTGCTGGCCCCTACCCTGGGGATCTTTAAGAAGAGGCTGGATACTTACCTGGCTGGACTCATTTGAGTCCCGTTTTTGTTTTTAGGGTGAGTGGTTTTGTTTGTGTTTTTGGGTTGTTCTCCCGCCCTGGCGGGGGGTCGGGCTAGAAGATCTATTAGGTCCCTTCCGACCCTGAAACTATGAAACTATGAAACTATATATAGACACCCAATTATTATTAAAAAATACAGGTGAACATTAAAACAACCCAGAACAAAGAATATTGATTGGGCAACCTTGTAACTCTATTAATATACAAACTATTACTTCAACTTATTCACATAAAATATAAGACAGTCTACAAATATAACAAGCAATCCTTAGACTACCTGGGTGTCCTCCAGGGCAGGGGTCCCACTCCCAAGTTATCACTACAGGAAAGAGGGTCAAGGGAAAGAAAAGAAGAGGGAGACCCCAAAGTCTCCTAAGCACCCCTATCACCCAAGAGCAGCCCACATGGTGCCCCTTCACAACCCTGACGGTCCCTCCCCTGTGGGGACCCTCTCTCCAGGGTAACTTACTACTCCCCAGTCCTGGAGAGCTGCCTCCCATCCTCCAGGTTGAGCTCTTCTCCCTGCCGGGCTTCTCTGCTGCCTGGCTCTGCTGCTGCTGGCTTAGAGCTGCGTGTAGTGGGCACTTTGCCTTGTGCTAGGGATTGGAGTCCCAGGCAGCCTTGTGCAGCACTGGGGCTTGGGCTCCTCCTGGACTTTGTGCCGCATTGCCTGTACTCACACCCTGGCCACTTGCCAGGGTTGCAGACCCTGCCGCCTTGAGCAGATCCCAGGGTCTGCACACCAAATGAGGCTCAAGCCAGTGAGTCTTCAGGGCTCTTCAGGGCAACTGGCAATGCCCACTGGGCAGGTCTCCCAGCTCTTTTCTGCCCCTTCTTCTTTCTTTTCTGTTCCTTTGACATGTCTTCTCCCCATCATGCTGGGCACACAGCTCCTTTTATCTGCATCTATAATCAGGTCCAGGAGGCTCTTTCCCCCCACTCCGTGCAAGGGGTGGTGCTGCCTCCCCAGCCCTTACCTGATTGGTGGACACATTCCACCAATCAAAACGAAGATTCTCTGAGCCCATTTGAGCCGGGCTGAAGTAGCAAGCCCGCCACACTAAGAAGAGAGAGATGCAAGGAGACATAATTTATCCCATCTACAGGCCAGAGACGGAGACCTTTATCCTCCTCCTCCTATCAGCATCTTCTTGCTGCATCAATTCCAGCTGCATTACCAGCAGAGCGGTCTGTTTGTCATAGAGTAGAGGGTGCTGAAAAGGAGGGGTGGGGAGAGGGGGACAAGAAGGAGAAAGCAAGCAAGCAAGCACATGTACCTCATGCTGGTATCTGCAGGTCTGAGAAGCAAAATTATTTTGCTTTTCCAGTACATTATGGGACTTAACTCCATCATCTCTGATGAGAAACCATTCCCCACACTCTGCCTATAATATAGAATCATAGAGAAGTAAGGCTGGAAGGGCCTTCAGAGATCATCAAGTTCAACACCCCACCAGAGGCAGGATCATCCCTGTCCAAGCAGCTCTTTATATAACATGTATTTCCTGCATATCTTCTGATAGGTTTCTTACACATCTGCATGTTTCCTCTTATTTCAGTGCTATGTTCCCTAGCTGTATTTTAAATACTACATTAACAATCTGTTGTGTACATCCAGAGACTCAGGATCAGGTATATGGTTCTCTACTCAGTCTTAATCTCTTGGCACACTAAAAAATATTGAGACTCACTTCAGCGGAAGGAGTTATTTGCTTCTGGCCTCGCTAAAACTGAAATTAACAATAACTATACAGTTATTACTAATAATGGTCCTTCCCACCTCACATGCATAGCATGCGATTCCAATTTTCCCTGGTTCATATCTACCCAGAGAGGCTCCTTAGACTGCAGTGGCTCACCCAGAAACATAGGCCAGACAAGCTAAAAAAATCAAGTAAAAATAAATTTCTCCTCACAGTACAGCTTTAATCAATACTCAGATGTGAGTAGAATAGAGGCATCTACTTTGCTAACTGTAGATATTCCCTTTTATTCAAAAGTAGCTACATCCAGAGTTCACCTCTTCAGCTCACCTCAGCAGCAGGCAACCTGGAGGTGGGTAAAGTAGAAACCAACAGTGCTGATTGAAGCAGAAACTGAGACTTTTGGGAGCTTGAGAACATTATGTATTCTGCTGTGGGCATAGCAGTAGGAGTTCTGTGTTAGCAGCTCTCTTTGCTGCTAGCATAAAATTACCGTGACAGTAAAACTGAAATTGCTAATGGGTCAGGCCCCTCCTAGGTTCAACTTCTAGCCATTTAGTGCTCATCCTATGTTATGGTACGGTACAAATTCTTGTCAGGTTCCTGGTTGTGTCAGGGTATGAGACTGAAAGATTCCACACGCATGCACACACCCACTGGGTTACAGCATAAAGGACACTCAGAGACCCCTTCTGACTATTTGTATGGTAGAAGAGCAGGAGGGACAAAAGATAAGGGATGGAAAAGAAACCTCTCTAAAACCTGCCTCCCCCTCTTTTGTATCTTTGTAGGAAATACTAATTTCCTGAATTTATTCATATACATTTCCTGAATATTTATTAAAAAAAAAACAGGTAAAAATGATTGGGTGGGAAACAAGCTAAAGTGAGAATTGAAAATCACCCTGCAAAGCAGCATCTCAGAGCTTTGACTGCCTTTGACAGGATCCTTACTAAGCAATCAACTCTCTGTAACAGGCCTTATGTCACAGTAGGGGCATGCACAGGACTGACAGTATGCTATACCCATCACCCAGCTATGCTTGTAGCACTTATATATTTACTATTGATCTGTTTCACATAGAATGGGATATAGTATACAGTTTATGTACAGTGCTGATACATTACATGACTCTTGCACATTAAAATATATTTAAAATATATGTTCATGTTGCTACCATGGTCCCTCTTGGTTAAGCTTACTGTCCTAAGTGCTGTCTGCTATGTGAGAATGACAAATCTGAATAATCTGATGCTACTTTTGGTACAACTGGTTTTAGCACCACAGAACTCTTCATCACCTCCTTGATCCTCAAAAAAATGCCTAAAAACAAAGGTCCGGATTTTGATCTTGATCTGTTTTCCTGCAATATAACTCCACTGATTTCATGTTAATCTTAAATCACACCAGTGAAATCAAGTGAGATCAGTCTCCTGTATGTGAATAACACATACATAAATATGCTGCAGCTCACAGTCCACTAGAATATACAGTGATTAAGAAATTACAATGCAAAGCCTATTTGGCAAAGCATATTGTAAACTGGAAGAACCAAGAAACTGTCAACATGTTTTAAGTACACTGGGACTCAGAAACAAGTTACATTACCTGGGTTGGGCTGAAGATACTCTATTGTCTTGGCCATTATTTCCATGACGGCCCTGCTGGTGACATCCACTTTCTGTAAAGAGCAATATAAAATGAAGGAAGAAAAAGAAAAACAAAAGTGAGATTTTGCAGCAAACAGATTCTTATGTCTGTTCCTTTGAGGACTGGTGATATGGGAAGCAATTCTGCCAGCAATTCTGCTGAACTGCTCTATTTACAAACAAGCCATCCTTAAGTTGATAGGCTTTGTCCCCCCAAAATATCCCATATCCCAAAATCAATGAGAACAGACTAGTGACTCAGAGGAAAAGCAATGACTCTTCAAGAGGAAACATAGGTAATCCATGCAATTGTCATCTCTAGGTAGATTCCACACATTTGACCATTCAATAGCCCTATAGTTGGTCTCTTCAGCAGAAATAATTCATGTGATCCTGGCACACCAGGACATCATGCACTAATATGATGTCTAGAGATGACTAGAGACCCTCTGGGTTAAAATCCATGGGGAACACGGCACAGGGGACACAATGGTTGTAGCCTACTACAGACTTCTGACCCAGGATCAAGAGCTTGACCAGGAGTTTGCCAGGGAATTGGCTGAGGCCGCACGCTCCCGCTGCATGGTTGTCATGGGAGACTTCAACTACCCAGACATCTTGTGGGAAGAGCGCTTGGCTAAATCCAAGCGGTCACAAAGCTTTCTCTCATGTGTGGATGAGCTCTATCTGATGCAACAAATTGACAGGCTGATGAGAGGAAAAGCGCTGCTCAACCTGGTTCTGGCAAGGGGGGATAATCTAATCAGTGACATAATAATCAAAGGGAAGCAGGGTGACAGTGACCACAAGATGATCACCTTCACCATCTGCTGTAAAGATGGCAAGTCAGTCAGCAACACAGAAGTCCTTGACTTCAGGAAAGCTGACTTTGACAAGCTCAGGAGGCTTGTCAGGGAGGCCCTAAAGGGCCACAACCCAAAGGGGAGGTGAGTTCAGGATGAGTGGTTGCTCCTCAAAGGAGTGATCCTGGATGCGCAAACAAAGTCTATTCTGTTTCAGAGGAAAGGCAGCAAAAGGGCACAGCAGCCCCCATGGCTCTTCAGGGAACTAGCAGACCTCCTGTATCTAAAAAGAAATACCTACAAAAAAGCCTTTGATCTGATATCCCTTGATCACCTCTTAGTAAAATTGGCTAACTGCAGCCTCGGCCTCACCACGATCTGCTAGCTGGGGAACTGGCTCCGTGGTAGGACCCAGAGGGTGGTGGTTGATGGAAGTCAATTGTTGTGGTGCCCTGTGACCAGTGGGGTCCCCCAAGGCTCTGTCCTTGGGCCTATACTATTTAAGATCTTCATTAATGATGTGGACATTGGTGTCAGAAGTGGACTGCCCAAGTTTGCTGACAACACCAAACTCTGGGGTAAAGTGTCCACACCTGAGGATAGGAGGGTGATCCAGGCTGACCTTGACAGGCTCAGGAAATGGGCAGACGAGAACCTGATGGTGTTTAACACCGAAAAATGCAAGGTTCTCCAGCTTGGGGAGAAAAATCTACAGCATCCTTATAGGCTCGGCGGTGCTATGCTGGCTAGCACTATGGACAAAAGGGACTTGGGGGTCATGATTGACCACAAGATGAACATGAGCCTTCAATGTGATACTGCAGCTAGTAAAGCAAGCAAAATACTTGCTTGCATCCACAGGTGCTTCTCAAGCAAATCCCAGGACATCATTCTCCCTTTGTACTCAGACTTGGTGAGGCCACGGCTGGAGTACTGTGTCCAGTTTTGGGATGCACAATTCAAAAAGCATGTGGAGAAGCTTGAGTGGGTGCAGAGGAGATCCATGCACATGATCAGTGGTCAGGAAAGCAGACCTTATGATGAGAGTCTGAGAGCCATGGTACTCTTCAGGCTGGAAAAGTGCAGGCTCAGGGGTGATCTGGTGGCTACCTATAAGTTTATCAGGGGTACTTACCAGGATCTGGGGGAACATCTGTTCACCAGAGCGCCCCAAGGGATGACAAGGTCAAACAGTCACAAACTCCTTCATGACCGTTTCAGGCTGGACATAAGGAATAACTTCTTTACTGTCCAAGCCCCCAAGGTTTGGAAAAGACTGCCGCCAGAGGTGGTTCAAGCACCTACTCTGAACACCTTCAAAAGACATCTGGATGTTTATCTTTCTGGGATCCTATGATCCCTGCTGACTTCCTGCCCCTGGGCCAGGGAGCTGGACTCGATGATCTTCCGAAGTCCCTTCCAGCCCTAATGTCTATGAAATCTATGAAACAAAGGTCTACTGCCCCTTTACTCTGCCAATGATACCAACCTCAAATAATGCATTTCTGTCCATTTGTCTCACAAGGACCTATGTTCTTTCTTTTTGTGAACCACGGATGTGGAATAACCTCTATAAAATATACAAAGCCACTCAAGGGTACCTATAAAACAGTGTCACCTATGAACAGTTTGGTAGAAACCAATACAACTGTTACTGAATTAGCTTATTAGTGTTCATTAGCAAAAAAATTCCCAACCCAAATTCCAAATTGTGGACAAATATTTTAACACTAGCAAATCATGAATGGCAGGAGGGGACAGAGTGCCACCACCCAGTGCCCCATGTGCTGCCGCTTCACCTCTAGCCCCATGCATGCCCCCCATGCTCCCCTATGCCCCCGCCCCACTTCCAGCTCCGTGAGCCTCCCCACCCCCTGTGTCCAGGCCCGTGGGCCTCCCCCACCCCTCACTGCTCCCATTGCAGGCTCATGCTGCCCCCCCCAACCCTCTCCCACTCCACCCCATGCTGCCACTGGGTCCCAGGAATGACGGCAGGGAAGGGAGCTTTCATGGCCAATGACACCTGGCAGCACACAAAATGCCCCGCTTCTTGCCTCCCCTCTCCCTCTCCTCCCTCCCTTCCCACTGCCTCCCCCTCTCTGCTGGCTGTAGTGGGAGAAGCAGCAGTTTGACTCCCTTGCCCCCTCTGTCTGTAATGCTCCAGGTCCTTACAGCCAATTGGTATGCGCCCTCTCAGTGGCATATGCACAGTTGGCCTGGAGCGTTACAGACAGACAGATAGACTAAGGCTTTTATTATATTAGAATTTTACAGGAATTCATTAGACCTTGATTCCATGTGATGCCCAATGACTAGGGAGACAAGGGATCGATGTCATCACGTATCACCTGCACACATTGCTCATCAACAGCTTTATTCAAAATGGAGATAGCTTCAGGCAATGTTCCAACAAACCAGGGAGCTGCCATGAACATTAGTTCTTTCCATATTTATACACCTTGGTTTATGATCATTAACATTTACTCCACCTTTGTCCCTCCTTTGTTCCACCCATATTCCCTCCTATCTTAAGCTCCACCTCTGTTTACTTCATTAGCATATAATTGCCTATGCATTTCACTTATTTGCATGTCTTTTTGCCAGGAGTGTATGCCTAAAACCCTGACCCCTGCTTCTTTCAGTCACTTGCAGTTTCTTGCTGATTTCTTCACCATCTCCAAGGTCTTGCTTCTGCTTATCTCCTAATGATAGCCGGTAGTCTGCATCCTGTTCTTCTTCCACAATGAGCTATATATCTTACAACACTACTCAGGAGTGTATGCCTAAAACCCTGACCCCTGCTTCTTTCAGTCACTTGCAGTTTCTTGCTGATTTCTTCACCATCTCCAAGGTCTTGCTTCTGCTTATCTCCTAATGATAGCCGGTAGTCTGCATCCTGTTCTTCTTCCACAATGAGCTATATATCTTACAACACTACTATATTGTTAGGAAAATGCTTGCCTAAGTGCCTTGCAATGTTACTTTTAACATACCATTCTGGCTTGTGTTTAGCAGCTTTGCTAGGCCACAGGTTATAGCCTTTTATTCAGCTGCAAATCCAGTGCTCCCCAGGATCCAAATACAGTCACCCTAACAGCAATGTGCTTGTATTAGTGTTGCCCCCCAAACCTTGCCTTCTTTCCAGCCTCCACTTGATTGCATACAAAACTGTTGCATCATTCTTAAAATCAAGAAATTGTATTTTCTGAGGCACGGACTACTTACTGTCACATTCATAAAGTATTTTGCACAATATAGTCCTGACCTCAATGGGATTTCTAAGCACCCTGAAAATGTAAGCAAGCTATAGCATTAGTTATATCTAGTACTCATAATATAATTGTATCAAATAATGGCTTTCACACTGAGGGAGAAAATAAAAGCCCTAACTTTAAAGCTTTAAAAGCCTATCTGCTCTAGCCAGGATGACAACAGGGATCAAGTGACCCCAGTGAGGTGACTGTCCAGTCTCCTCTTGAAAACCTCCAGGGTAGATGACTGCACCACCTCTGGAGGGAGTTTATTCCACAGTCTAGACACCCTGACTGTGAAGGAGTTTTTCTTGGTTTTAAGCCTGAAGTGGCCTTCCAGGAGTTTATATCCATTGGTCCTGGACTTCCCCAGGGGTGCCCTAGTGAACAGTTGTTCACCAAGCTCCTGATGCACTCCTGTGATATAGCGGTAAGCCACTATCAAGTCCCCTCTCAACCTTCTCTTCTTTAAGCTAAAGAGTCCCAGGTCCCTCAGCCTTCCCTAGTATGGCTTGCCTTGCAAGTCCCTGATCGTACAAGTGGCTCTTTTCTCGACCCTCTCAAGTTTTTCCACATCCTTATTGAAGTGCAGTGCCCAGAACTGGATGCAGTACTCCAACTGTGGTCTCACCAGTGGTAAGTACAATGGGAGTATCACTTCCTTAGTTTTACATGAGATGCCTCAGTTGATGCATGCCAAGTGTGTTGTTTGCCCTTCTGACCACGGCATTGCACTGACAGCTCATGTTCATGTGATGGTCAATCATTACCCCTATGTCCCTTTCGGCCATGGTGCAAGTCAGGCTGTCACCTCCAAGTCTGTATGTATGTTGAGGGTTATTTGCCCCCAGATGGAGCACCTTACACTTGGAAGTGTTAAACTTCATCTGGATCCAGTCTGCCCAACTCTCTAGCCTGTCCAGGTCTGCCTATACCAGCAACCTATCTTCTAGCATGGCTACACTGTCCCATAACTTG